GGGGGATCAGCACACTTAAACTTTGACCTAAATGGTAAAAAAGCAATTTACTAAACCAAAATGTTTGTACCCCCTTAATATTCTGAAATGTAATAAGGAAGAAAATAAGTTTAGATATATATTAGGTGGGTGTGCTGCAGCTCTTGCTACATGGGAAGCTGAGGCAGGTTGAGCTTGCAGTAAGCTATGATGAGACCACTGTATTCTAGCACAGGTGACAGAACAAGACCCTGTCTCAAAAAATATATATATTAATTCATTTTACCTGAATTCATTTAAGTGATGTAGCCATCCAGGAAATAAAAAGCAGGCAATCTTCTCTTCACCTTTTTCTCCATATCCCCACCCATTAATTACTCTAATGTTTATTGAGTATTAATCTGTGTCAGAAAATGTGCTACATGTTGGGAATCAGTGATAAGCTAACACATGGTCTTGTTGATATGTTTATTGTGTCAGCAATTAATCAGAAATCTTGACGTCAAGTAACAGCTAGTCATTTCTTGCTTACATATTTTCAATGGCTTTCCATTTAGCAGAGTTTATCGAGGCCCTGTGTGCTCTTGTACCCACCAACTGTAACCCTCATTCTCTCTACTCTATATTCAACTATTTTATTTTGACCCCTCAAATGTACCATGTTCCTCTCACTTCAGACACCTAGTACATTTTCTCTCCACTTCCTGGAATGATCATCCTAACAATATATACCTAACTCACTCCTAGGTTTCTTTCAGTTCTCTATTCAACCATTGTCGAATACCAGAGGATCAAATGTCCCAAATCTCTCCCCTCATAGCACCATATAACTCTTCTTCATAGAACAGACTTTTTATTGACCTAGGAATGTGTGCGATATTTGATTAATACTTGTCTGCTTCCACAGAGTGGAAGCTCTGTGGAGACAGGGACTAAGTTTCACTTTGCTCCTTTATATCCTTGCATAGATTGTGTGGAATACAGCAATTGGTACATAAGAGACACTCAAAATACATATTTTTGTTAAAGAAAGATATACACATTGACTATTTTCATTATAATATTCTTGAGCTGGGTTTAACAATTTTAGAAAAAGAATATCATAATGAGAAGAAAAGTCATTAATATTTTATATATACCGGTGATTATGACCGCTCTCTAAGTGTTTAAAACTGAGTTCTGCTTAGCAGGCCCCTTTGATAGCATTCAAAAGACAAGCTAACTTTTAGTTTTAAATCAATATAAAATTATAATTGCTAGGAAAAGAATTAATCATATTTCATACTGTGCAAATAGAAAAGTATAAGCAAAACAAATAAATAGATAATTAGATAAATAGATTCACTTCAACATCCATAGTAGTACTTTAGAATAAAATTTATCAACCTGTGATCTAAACATATCTGGCAGTAGAATCACTGGAAATACGTGTTAAAATGGCAAATATCTCATTCCCACACTAATCTTACTGAATCAAAATATATGAACACAAGTTCCCTGGATTTGAATCTTAACACAATCCCAAGCCAAAATCTTAGCATATTTAAAGACCGAGATGCACTACATTAGGAATTACATTGAGAATGTTCTTTTCTAATTATCTGTGTTCTACTTCATTTTTACAAGGACAAGAACATTGTATACTCTTAAAAGCAAAAAGTAATAGTCTTGTTCCCAGAGACAGATTCTTAGCATTGAAAAAAAAAAGAATAAGGGAGAAATTTAATGGTTTCACTGCAATCGGCTTGATGGTTCTGTAACTATCCAGCAAGATTCTGTTTTCTAATGAGCATTAGCTAACATGTTGAAGAGTAATGGCATTAATAAAACTGACAATCATGATAAATCTCTTATCTAAAAACTCTAAAATCTGTTGCATGAATATAAGTTTTTTGAAAACACAAAAGATGAGCTAGACGTTTTCTTGTTAAATTATGCATATATTTGGAGTAAAGTGGAAGAACAAATTATTTAATAAGAGAAGGCAGAGAAAGGAAAGAATAATGAGTCATATACTAAAAGATTAGGATATCTGGAAATAGGATGAGACAGATGACAAGAGAAAAGCACAGAGGAAAACAGAAGACATGGCAGAAGAACAAGATAAATGATAGAAGAGAACAAAGAGCGAGAAAATGGGGGAGAGATGGGGAAAGCAAGACTCTATCAGAGACTGGAATTATTAGAATGCCAAAGATATTTGGAAAGCCAAATCTCATTTAAGAAAGCTTTTTGTACTTTCAGTTTTCAAGTAGTGTGATGAAATTATCAGTGCTCTTTCTGTTGAATAGTAGCATTAATTAAAAATTAAAGTAATATAGTTATAAATAATGTTTGCTATAGTTCAATAGGTTTATATCTTCAATTTTTATACAAAGTACTCAATGTTGTATGTTAGCATATTGTTAGCATAGTCCTTTTACCTCCGTCCTATCATACACTTTAGACCAATTATGATTTAGAAAATAACTTTTGTCTTAAGCTGGATGGAGTTGGAGACCATTCTTCTAAGAGAAGTATCACAAAACTGGAAAAACAAACACCACATGTAATCACCATTAAATTGGAACTAATCGATGGACACTATGTGCATATATAGAAATAACACTCACTGGAAATCAAGCAGGTGGGAGGAGGGAGAAGAGGAGGGGTAAATTCACACCTAACAGGTACAATGCATACTATCAGGGGGATCAGCACACTTAAACTTTGACCTAAATGGTAAAAAAGCAATTTACTAAACCAAAATGTTTGTACCCCCTTAATATTCTGAAATGTAATAAGGAAGAAAATAAGTTTAGTTACTCTACTTCATAATATATCAAGATTTTAAAAATCAGAACAATGTAGTTTTCAAAATGTCATTTTCTATGAGCCTTTATAATATTTGTATAGTCTATTGTTATTTTTTTATTTTTTATTTTTTGAGACAGAGTCTTACTCTGTTGCCTGGGCTAGAGTGCCATAGCGTCAGCCCAGCTCACAGCAACCTCAAACTCCTGGGCTCAAGCAATCCTTCTGCCTCAGCCTCCTGGGTAGCTGGGACTACAGGCATGCGCCACCATGCCCGGCTAATTTTTTCTGTGTATTTTTAGTTGTACGGATAATTTCTTTCTATTTTTAGTAGAGATGGGATCTCGCTGTTGCTCAGGCTGGTCTCTTAACTCCTGAGCTCAAATGATCCGCCCACCTCGGCCTCCCAGAGTGCTAGGATTACAGGCGTGAGCCACCACGCCAGGCCTTGTTGAGTATTTTTTTATAAATTACTAAAGGAGTCTTCCTGCTAAGATTATTTACAGTTAAGGTTCTATTTTAATTAGTTAATATCACTAATGCTATCTGGGCTATCTTCTGTTGCTATTAAAGAATCACCATGGCTTTATTTTGATGACGTTTTAATTCTTTGCATTTAGTTGAAGACATTTTATTTAATTCTTGGATGATATCATTGGGACATTTCAGTCAGATTTGAGCAGAGACAAAACATGAACAAAGATGTGGAAGGTTCATTCATGGGTAGTCTGCATCAGATTTTCTACGTTAGCCAAATATATTTCCTGAAAGATCTGAAGAGTCAGACACAACCACAATTAAAATGTAATTACATTTCAAAGAGAAAATATTTTAACACTTTAATGGCCTGACAGCATGGATTATTCATACCTCTGCCAAATTTCCATTCATGGAAAGATGCATAAGTTGTCTAAATCATGAAAAGTATGTCGTTTTTACCTTCTTTAAAGAAAGGATCCCTTCTCTAGTCTCTTTGTCAGTGGAGATGGAGAATATCCCAACACCATCACCATTTATGATGGAATATGTCATGTCAGCATTTGAGCCAGTGTCTGCATCATTTGCCTTGATTTTCCCAACAGCTGAACCCACTTGAGCTGACTCAGGAACATACAGCTGGTAGTGCTCTGGAAAATATTTGATATTAAACTTATTTAATAATAATGTTTAT